TTAGTTTAAAGTTTTCTGCTGTCAATGTGACCTTGACAACTGACCTTTTGATCCTACAAATTGACCTCTTGATCCCCGATTCTTTCATTGTTTAAAGAACAATTGACCCACACCACTGTTTACAATGCAAGGTATAACGCAGTAACCAATTTTGGGACATAATTACTGTGACCTTGACGTTTGACGTTTACGCTCCTAACAGACAAGTTTATTCCTTGCATCAATTGAAAGCCACACACAAACAGTTTGAAGATATGAAGTCAGCCACAAAGTTCAGTAATAGCAGATGGAGAAGAAACTGTTTTTGGTACAGAGAAGAAAAGGTGTTCAAGTAACTAATGGATAGATGGACAATCATATTTAATGCCACAATCTGCCTTTGATGAAAATATAAAATAAACAGTAGTTAAACCATGTTCACTACCTGTATCAACTGAATGCATTACAATATAATGTTAAATAGTGTAGTCTGTGTTTTCGCTATTGACATGACACCAAAATTATTAGAAAAAACGAAACAATTTTAACAGTGTGTTCATATATGTGCATAATTACAATTGCTGAAAAGCGTTGAAGTTGGTGGCATAAAACATTCACATTTTCCAGAATGTATGTTCCAGATTGCGAACATTTAATCAAATAAGACCATTCAGTCAGCACAAGAAACTCTCATAACAGTGATTTACAACCATATCTGAATTTATGCAAATGACATCTCGAGGTGGGGTGAAATTGCTACCCCTAACACTACTTGTACAAGTCTGATCGACACGTAAAGTTTGTGGCGGGGGAGGGGGAAACAAATTGCTTAAACTTTCATCCAGTATCAAGCGATGGTTTGGAGAAAAGCTCGTTTTGCACATATACATGTATCCATCAACACTGGAAGAACATATATCATTAAAGCTGCTTAATAAAGACATTGTTGTGAGTAATACAATTTTTGTACTTAATAAGCACAGACAGATTTACTGACCATCCAGTAAAACTTCTGCTGCTTAAAATTGCTTCTGTTTATATTGATGGTATATAAATCATCCTTGCTGTTTTTTATTATAGGAGAGTAGATCATTGTCGTGCTTTGTCAACACATTTTGTGTTAGGTTGATTTTGCTTCTCCTTCACCATGGGTAAAATAATTTCGTCTGTGGCTTTCCATTATTGTGCAGTCTACTTACGTCTTTTCGTTTGTCCTTTAAAAACAGAAAATTGACAGAATTTACCTCCTACTCTGACTCAAACGTTTACAACTGTTTAAGAAACTTAGTCTTAAATAATAAGAATCGATACAAAAATTTAACTATTAGTACGAGTTGATGCTCTTAACAAAGTAACAGAACATGAGGGAGAAGCAACAAGCTTGGCAAAATTCAACAAATATATTTCCATAGAATACAAAGTGAAAACAAACAAACAACTTATGGTTTTGCGAATTAAATCTATAAGTAATCATATAATTAGAGATACAAGTTTTAGTAATTTCAAGTTCTGAAAAACCTTTAGCATAAATTCAAATTAAGTCCAAATGCTGAAAATGTTGATGTGTCTGTGTCGTTTTCCATACAACGATACTAAATTTGCTTTGCATGGCATCACTATCCAGCAAGTGAGATGTGTATGGCTTTGTTGGGATGTCCCTGGAACCTACCACTATTTTCCATACAGCGATACTAATTCTGCATTGTGTGGCATCACGGTCCAAAACTTTTGATTACAACGGACAAAATCTTTACATTTATATTACTTTCAGATCACTATATGAGTAATGTTAAAAATGTTATAGCCTACTTTCAGATCACTATATGAATACTGTTTAAAATGTTATAGCCTACTTTCAGATCACTATATGAGTACTGTTTAAAATGTAGAACCGACTTTCAGATCACTACATGAGTACTGTTAAAATGTTATAGCTTACTGTCGATTCACTGTATGAGTACTGATTAAAATGTTAAAGCCTACTTTAAGATTACTATATGAGTACTGTTTAAGATGTTATAGCCTACTTTAGGATTACTACATGAGTATTGTTAAAAATGTTATAGCCTACTTTCAGATCACTATATGAGTACTGTTTAAAATGTAGAACCGACTTTCAGATCACTACATGAGTACTGTTAAAATGTTATAGCTTACTGTCAAATCACTGTATGAGTACTGTTTAAAATGTTAAAGCCTACTTTAAGATCACTATATGAGTACTGTTTAAAATGTTATAACCTACTTTAAGATGACTACATGAGTACTGTTAAAATGTTATAGCCTACTTTCAGATCACTATATGAGTACTATTTAAAATGTTATAGCCTACTTCATGATCACTATATGAGTACTGTTAAAATGTTATAGCCTACGTTCAGATCACTATATGAGAACTATTTAAAATGTTATAGCCTACGTTCAGATCACTATATGAGAACTATTTAAAATTTAAAATGTTATAGCCTACTGTAAGATCACTACATGAGTACTACTTAAAATGTTTTAGAGTGACTGCCTCGAGAATCTCAAAAAAATTTAAAACAGGATAGTACTGCAACTTTTGATTCCATATTTCAAGAATGAAAATGAAAATACAAAGAATAAAAAACGAAATCACAAGATTGGTCAATTTTCTTAAAGGACTTTGATTGTTTCCTGTTCATTTAGCATACTGATATTTTATATTTCTTGTTCCAAGTTATATTCAATATCAATACAGTATTTTTGTACGAAGCATATATACAGACAGTGAAACCGAAATACACTGAACATGAATAGCCTTCTTTTATAACGCTATTAAATCACGAAAATTAAATTTTCCACTCCTCCTTAAAATTTCTAAAAACTTTGGACTTGTATGACCCTACCCATAATTGTTGCTTATTTTCTGTTTCTTTGGAGTCAGAGGATCAGAACACGCATCACTGGCAAGTATTTTTTGAGACTGAGAAAAAATGTACTTCTTTAAGTCCATTTTGTGCTGTTAACAGTTGATATATATATATATATATATATATATATATATATATATATATATATATATATATATATATATATATATATATATATATATATATATATATATATATATATATATATATATATATAATTATTCTATCTTGTTATATAGTATTGAGTATTTTCAAAGCACGAAAAAGCACAAAAAATGGCTAAGAGTAATATCTATTAAATTATTACTGAATTTAAGCCTCTAAATGTTTACACTGTTTGTACGTTTCGTGGTGTCTCACCTATACATCTTAAAGTATCAGTCCCAAAATCCTTCATTTCTGTTTGCTGTTATTAAAAACGTAATAACATCTACTTATTTGCTGCACGTTTTTGTTGTGTAGTTTAATGGTGTTCTTGTAATGTTGTCGTTTTTATATGGTATGTGTTATCTAATATTTTTTAAGCGACTAAGCACTGTATTAAGTGCAATGCTTGGGGACTTTCTAGCGAGGTTTATAATACTAGTAACTTCACGCGTTCTATTCTGACAGTTAAAATTAAATTCCAAAATAATCATAGAATTACAGACACAAGTTTTAATGCTTAAAATTCTGAATACAGTTTAGTGGTAATCCAAAAATAATTTCCATTGCTGAAGGTGTTGATATGCCTGTAGTAACCGATAGTTTCTATTGTACTAATCACCAACGCCCTAAATTTGTAACGATATGTCAACTGTCTTTTGTTGAATCACAGTAATATAAACCAAGGTTTCCTTGTTTGAATGCAGTTTAATTCCCAGTTAATGTCTCTTTCAAAGAATATTATAGCGATCTTTAAATTTCCAGAGAAAAATAACTTGAATTAAATAATTTCAGCCCAAATCAAACACTGAATACAACAAACAACAAATGATTGTACCTCAAGATCTTACAATTCGAATAAAGATTTTTCACAGTAAATAAATGTGTAAAGCCCTTTGCTTGATCTACGTGACAATGAGACTTTCTAAAATTAAGTATTACCAAGTGGACAATTCTGTTTTTAACATTGGAATACAGAACATGGCAAACACAATGTTCTTGACTCGGATCAAAATGACACTAATTACATCTGTAATTATCCTACTATTAAAACTTTAACATTGGAATACAGAACATGGCAAACACAATGTTCTTGACTCGGATCAAAATGACACTAATTACATCTGTAATTATCCTACTATTAAAACTTTAACATTGGAATACAGAACATGGCAAACACAATGTTCTTGACTCGGATCAAAATGACACTAATTACATCTGTAATTATCCTACTATTAAAACTTTAACATTGGAATACAGAACATGGCAAACACAATGTTCTTGACTCGGATCAAAATGACACTAATTACATCTGTAATTATCCTACTATTAAAACTTTAACATTGGAATACAGAACATGGCAAACACAATGTTCTTGACTCGGATCAAAATGACACTAATTACATCTGTAATTATCCTACTATTAAAACTTTAACATTGGAATACAGAACATGGCAAACACAATGTTCTTGACTCGGATCAAAATGACACTGATTACATCTGTAATTATCCTACTATTAAACCCACACTCATTAAGAAAATATTAGCTATGTACTAGTTGCTAACAAAATACAAAGGTCAATGATTCTGGTCAAGCAAACAATGAACTTGATTATGGCTAGCAATAAAATATATAAATTAAAGAAAAACAAGCTCACAAACTGCACATATTAAATATACACAACAATACATACTTAACAATGTGTATTTTCCTGTTTGTTTTCACCGTTGTAAGGAGCAACAGTGAACGGGGTACCGCCTGCGCGATAAAACGGTGAGACCGTTTCCCTAATATTGTGGGAAGAAAGACACCTCTGGCGCGAAATAAAATGGTGAAATGGCCTTTGATACTATTTGACTATATAGAACAAACAAAAACACGAACTAATCCATGAAAAGAATTTTGCAAAAAAATGCCAATTAACACCCATGAAAATAGTGTATTTAATAATATTCTTGATATGCTTCTGTTGCAATCCAATCGCATTGGTGGCCTAGTGATTAGAGCGTCCGCCTCGGATGCGGGAGGTCGCGGGTTCGGTCCCCGGTCGAATCATACCAAAGACTTACAAAAATGGTACTAACGGCTGCCTCGCTTGACGCTCAGCATTAAGAGGCTAGTTTAGAACTGGTCGGCCTGGTGTCAGGATAATGTGACAGGGTGGGACATCATGCTGCATGTCTTTGGCATGATGCTCCAGTGCTAGACATCACTATGAACTGCCACACTGCAGACATCGTAGCGATATGATTGACAAATTGTTAAAGCTACGTTAACAATCATACTCATATCACATCACTTCTGGTATGCATTTATGGTATGGTATTACGACATGCAACATCTATGTTAATAGATAGAGAAGTTTATTGACCAACTATATAATCTATGGAAAACTGCCAATTCTATACAATAGCAAAATGGACTTCAAACGGGGATTTTTACTGGGCGTACTCAATTGTAAGTAGAATACTCATCCATATAGTCTCTGTATAAAAGACTTCTAGCAAGCCGTATATAGAACCCGCCTTCACCGAATAACCCATTAGTATCTTTTAAGTCAAATAATGCTTAGGTTGCTTAAAAAAACGTTTAGAATCCCACTATCAGTTTAGGTCTTTTTATTTTCTTTCTTTACTTTGTTGTGTTTTGTTTCTTTTTTTATAAGTAGCTTTTTATGGTGACGTGATGAGTTTCAAATGTCACCAACTTGATCTCTTAAAAATTATTTCAGCTTAGACACGTATGATATAAAGTCATTCTAAATTAATTGTCAGAAAACAATGAAATGCCTCGAGTAGCTCATTAATGAAAAGCATAGCCTGATTAATGAAAATTACAATAAATGGATATCTTCTTATACGCTTAGTGGATTGTCCTTGATAATTCTCACAGACCCATGTTTGGTTATATACGACGTTTGCAATGCTTCAGGTTAAAACAACTCAGTATATCGGACATTGTTGCAAAAATATTTTATATTGGAATCTTGAGAAATGCACGAAATAAATATTGCTATATTATACATGCTTGTCATGGCTTGAAATGATTTAAGAACGTCGGATAATTTCTTTAGGATCCTATCTTATGCCCTTGTGCTGTACTTCTATGCATACAATATGCATGACTTCTTGTAACATGTATGATATGCCTTTGTCCATATTTTGAAATAAATCAGAAAAACTAACCCTATTCTAAGGCATCCTACCTTAGGTCCTATTTCTTTAACTGTACTCAGTTACTATAAAGCTTATGCTTCTGTTACATGCATTTCCGTTAATTTCTATCTATGTTTTGTCTGTGTTTTGGACTCATAGAAAAATAAGCATGCAATGTTATTTTTTCCAATCGTAAGTCTTTGTCTGTGCATTACACTCATGGAAATACAACATCAACCAATTTGTCCTTGACCTCTACCTGTACTCGGTCAATAAGCTGGATCTTTAATTAATGCGTATCATAAGTTCCTGTACATGATTTGTCTCAGAAACATAAAAGATAATTATTCTAAAGCGACCTCTCTTGTCCTCTAAATATCCTGATACAATAGCAAAGAAGCTATGTGTATATCTGCCATAAATGCGTTCCATGGATAGAAATGACCAAACTGTTTTTACAGCTCCCTTAATTTAGGCCCCAGTCACTTATCTGTCCGCATTCAATGAACATAATTCATCTAATATATGTGAAAAGTCCTTGTCTATGTTTTGGAATTAAAAAGAAATGTTTGACATATTCTTAAGCAAACTACGTTAGGTTTTTGTTCTCTACCTGTACTCAACGAATAAACATATACTTCTATTAATTCCAATCCTAGGCCGTTGTCTGAGCTTTGGACTTGAAGGAAAGCGTTAGGTCTATAGTATAGCATCCTATCGTACGTTTTGTCCTATGACTGTACTCATACAGTAAGCTTTCCATTAACACGTGTACTAGGTCACTGTGCATGACTTGGACTAATAAAATAAGTGTTTGTTTATTTTGTAGCAAACTATATATATATATATATATATATATATATATATATATATATATATATATATATATATATATATATATATATATATATATATATATATATATATATATATTTCAAAAATGCTTTGCATGGTTCATAACGATGCGCCAATCTTATACCAATTTTAAAGTAGCCTACCGTAGGTCCTATTCTACCTGTGCTCAATGAATAAGCGTACTATTCATTCTTATTCTAGGTCTTCCCATAAGCTTGGAACTATCTTAGGTTCTAACTTCGACTTGTAATCACCCAATAAGCTTGACTTTACATTAATATTTTTCCTATGACCCACGACATGATTTGGACTGGTACACAAACATTAGTTTATTAGATAGCACCCTTTAACAGGTCCTTATCTAAAGATACTGATACAATCGCAATGATATATGCATCGTAGCTATCATAAACGCTTTCCATGGTTCGAAATGATGAACCAACCTGAGGGAAATCTTGTTGTGCAAATGACACAGATCTGATATATTGGTGACTTTTTCCAATATATTGCATAGTTAATTAATAAGGATTTTTATCTAATACCTTAACGATGTCCAAAGTAAAAAGCTGTTAATTATATACATAACCTCAATATTTTTAACAGCGCGAGACAGTCGTGTACCTGGTCAAAGAAATGGTAAAATTGTTTATACTAACATGACTGTGATATTTGCTTTGACATGGCGATAATAGATGAACAGATATGGATGTGCAAACCGATAAAGTATTTCACAAAAATTTTTCTTTCAAAAGGGAACAAACCATAAAAATTATGATAACGTGGCTTTTTTAAAAATAAAGAGACAGAGAGAGAGAGAGAGGAGGTGGGGGCTATTTGAATGCCAAATTGTTTAAAACAGAAATACATTTATTTCCTGTTGTGTGGAGATATACATGGCTGATTTTTAAGTTTATAGGCTTAAACTTAAGTAACAAGGTGTGGTTAAAACCAACAAGTTTCCACGTTTCCAAAATATAAATTTATTTCCCTAAATTATAACAATCAAACAAACTGAAAGAATTGCAAATACTTACAGTTTATGAATTCATAGTATATCATAATTTGTACTATCAATTTAATACTACAGAAGTTGGCTATGAACTGAAGAATCTTAATATTTTCCTTTAATTCTCATATATCGTAATTTGTGCACACCAAATCGACAAATCACTAAAGGATTATCAAATATTTAAAACATTTAACTGTGAAATTATCTAATTGTCAACTTCTAACCTTCTTAGAATATTGAGCCAATGATATCTCAATAGTACATTGTCTTTCTAGTTTCACGTGATAATTGCGTTACTTCCATTCAAATTAATGCGTGGCGTACCTCAAATGAATTAGTTGTTAACTTGACCTAGTTGCTAACTTGACCTAGGGACTCAGCCTTGGCTCATGACTTAGAATTCTACACGTAATGCATATGTATATTACTACAGTACCAATCTGTCTTTTAATTAAAGAACCGGAAATATAAATGGCATAAACCCAAAAAACTTAAAAAAGTATGTTATAAATTCAATATATGATACAGACATCCCCAATGCTACCCTCATTAAAGAGAATAATGATTTATGCAATAAAACCTTTGCCTATTAAATGTCAAACCTACATTCAATTAATATTGCATAAAAATATGAATGATAGTATCATTTATACAAAACAATGCGATATTGTACTTCTATACAAGTGAAAAGTGCGTGTATTATAAAATTTTCTTTTACCCTGATGTGCCTGACACCGTGGTTATACGATTTCGACACCAGACTCAATCGGAACAATCTTTTGTTCTTGTTCTTTTTTTTATTAATGAAAGTGACGGGGTTGTGATCAATGAGGAGACATCAGTTGGAGAAGAAGCTGAAGTAACATACACCAGAAATTGTTGCAAGGCATCATCAAAGCCAAATACTCCTCTATCGATGAAAAATTTCTTTGGTGCTTATTCAATTTCCTTGAAAAATACAACACTGGATGATCCACACCATTGCTGTATTCCTATAACAGTACTCCACAAATCACTGTCACTTGCATCTAAAGATATTTTGAATAATTTAGTGAAATCTGGAGCTGAAATAATACTTTTGGGTATGGCTTTAAAATTATTGAAAACCTCCCGAAATTTGCCTGGCCAGTGAAATGTAATCTTCTTGCTTAACTAATTGATTGAATTTGAATAATCATGGAAAAATAAAAAAAATTCTGATATTACTTAACTAATTGGTCAGGGTTGAGCAATAATAGAAAAATTAGAAGAAAATTTCTGTTAATAACCAGCCATAACCAAAGTTGCGTCTTGCTGATATGCAACGGAACGCAGAAATAGCCTTAATAACTTCTATACGCTTTATTTGACCCGAAGCATGTTCAATGAAAATAACACGAGCACAGCAAGAGCCACTTAAGTCACGTTTGTTTCGCTGAGCCTTTCGAAAAAACTTTCGTATGGTTTACATGTGGTCATTTAAGGTGTCGTTGTAGACGGTGACGTCATCAATATAAGCGTCACAATTGCCTTGGCTCGATGTTATTATATTCTTCAAACATTGGAAAAAACTCGAAGAACCCTTCATTCCAAAGGGTATAACTATAAATTTGTAAAATCCATTTGGAGTCACAAATGCTGAAATTTCCTTTGCACTCTCTGTAAGTGACATTAATTAGAATCCCTTCAAAAGGTCACACTTAATAACGTATTTGGCACTTCTAATCCTTCCATCAGTTCTAGGATCTGGAAATGAATTTATCTTATTGACACTGCTTACTTTTTTGTAATCAGCACACATAGGGAAATTCTTATCTGGTTTCGGCTTTAAAATATAAGGTGAAATCCAATCATTTTTATTTAGTTTGTTAAAGTCATTCTCCAGCAAATACCTAATATCTTTCTTCATAATTTCTTGCTGCTTTACTGGCGCTAAATTTACTATTTCAACGTCATGGAAGATCTTATTTGTCCCTGTTGGAATATCTGGAAATAAGTGTTCATATTTTCAGTAGCTGTTTCAGTTTGTTGATCTAATTTATCAGCGGATGCGAAAGTG